TATATTTTTTAAATTAGAGCTGGGAGGATTAAATTTCATTAGGAGAAATATGCATGGCATTTCTTATATTCTGTGCGTGTCTCAAACCAATTTCATTGATATCCAAGGGCATACATTGATGATGACCTGTCCAGAGAGGAGCTCAGAAGATCAAACGGGAATCTGTAGCTCTCAGACACTGGCAATGCAAAGGTGGGTGGACTTCCTGCCACGCGCTCGTCTGAGGACAGTGTGCCTGGGCCTCCGGCTGTTCTTCTCCTTGCCCCCTGGGCGTGCAACAGGGGCTTTAGCAGGGGCCACGTGCATGAAACCGTGTGTATTTGGGGTAAAGGGAGCGCTCCCCTTTACCTTGTGCCCCCCCCCACTTGCCTAGAAGCAACACCTGGGACTTGGTGCTGTCTCTGCCAACCTTCCCGCACCATCCAGCCCATTTTCCTCTTGAAGGGAAACGCTTTACAGCAGTGGTTCTCAACCTTCTGGCCCTTTAAATACGGTTCCTCATGTTGTGACCCAACCATAAAATTATTTTCGTTGCTACTTCGTAACTGTCATGTTGCTACTGTGATGAATCGTCATGTAAACATCTGATATGTAGGATGGTCTTAGGCGACCCCTGTGAAAGGGTCGTTGGACCGCCAGAGGGGTCGCGACCCACAGGTTGAGAACCGCTGCCTTATAGGCTGTTGGCTGCCGCCTTCCCTTCAAGGGCACATCACAGCCCCCGGGCCTTGGCAGGGGCGGTTCCGCAGCCACCCTGCTGCCTGGCTGCCTGCAGCCGGACGGCCCACTAACACGCCCCGAACGTCCGGCCGCGTGGGCTCGGTGGCTGAGGTCGACCTATGAACCAGGAGGTCACGGTTCTATTCCCGGTCGGGGCACAGGCCTGGGTTGCTGGCTTGATCCCCAGTGTGGGGCGTGGAGGAGGCAGCTGATGAATGATTCTCTCTCATCATTGATGTTTCTATCTCTCTCTCCCTCTCCCTTCCTCTCTGGAATCAATAAAAGTATCTTTTAAAATAAATAAATAAATAAATAAATAAATAAAACGCCCCTAACGAACTAATGCCATGGGGTTGGCTCCATGCAGGCGGCTCCAGGGGCTGTGCGGAGCCAACCCCATGGCATTAGTTAGCAGGTTTGGATGCCTCCACCCCACCTATCACTCCATCACCGGTGGGTAAGGCCCCTGCTAAGCCGCCCTGTTGCCGGCCCAGGTGGGAGGAGAAGAAACTCGGCCCAACACTAACCAGACTGTACTTGGGGGGCTGTCAGGGCGGCTGGGAGGGTGAGGTCTCCCGGCACACGCCGCCTTGGGGAGCTGCAGCGGCTGTCCCAGGCCAGGGCCACAGACACTCGGGACCACAGCACTGGATCTGCGCTGTCCTTCCGTCTGCCCACCCCACCCAGCTACGCTCAGACACCCCCTCTGGAGCTGTGTGTGCCAGCCCTGAGCCAGGCTGTGCTCTGACAGAGCTGGGTGCCACCTCCCCCGGGCAGCCTGGCCTCCCCACGGGGTCAGGCCAGGGCCCGAAGGCCGGCCCATCCCGGGCTGACACCAGCCGCTGCCTGACCGAATGCCATGGACAGTCACCACAGGGTTCCCCAGACGAACGGAAAGGGGTCCCGCACATGCTCTGGGGAGAGGGGAGGGGGAACAGGATGCCCACAATCCCATGCCGTCGATGTTTCAAAAGGGAAAAGTTCCACAAACAACGCAGGACCCCGTCGGCAGAACAACAGGGTATCAGACTCGGGGGCACCCTGTTAGCCTTCCCGGCTGGGCCGTGTGCTGCGCTATGCAGGCCAATGGCTCTTTTTCAGAAGATGCGCCCCAAAGTGCTCAGGACAAAGTGTCAGCCGCCTGCAGTGCTCCAGACGGT